ATACATGACTGGCATGATTCTATTATTAACAGGAAATGTATTGTGTACAGGGGCAAGACACTACTAATATGAGATGGAGAGCATATAATTTAAATTAAATAAATTAAAAATTGTAGCCCATTGTTGTGACAGTGTCATAATAAACAATTGCTTGTTTATAATTATTAAATTTATCAAGAGATGGTGCGCAATGCCTACATTTAGGCAAAATTACTTAATATTTAATTATTAAATAATAGCCATATTATAGCCCAATCTGGAAAAATTTTTTGACTTTTTAATTTAAATTAAGCTACAGTCTTTTTTATAGGAGCCGAGATAGGATAGTCGTGCACCCTACCTTCCATGAGAAGAGAGGTTTGTGCATGGCAATGCCATTGAAAAGCTTGCTATCAGTTTCCTACACTTTTCATGCACTTGTATTTAGTTAATACATAGCCAAGAGAAGATATAGCCTGGTGCCAAACTTATACAGAGAACAGTCAAATCTGACTGCACTTTATAACTGGATCTTTTATATTAATATCTCTCTATGTTGGCTCTAGACAAGGGTTTCTCAACAGGGGTGGTATTGACACTTAAAGGGATTTATGAAAATTTGAGGGGGATTTGATACAACTTTCAAATAAAAAATTAATTTATAAATATTAAAAAGTTTACACATTTTTTTTTTTAGTGTAGGAAGATGTCTTTTAAAAATTATGTAACAGGTTATGGTGCATATACAGTGAAAACTGCTTAGGCGACCACCTGCATTCGACAGGCACCTGTCAAAATGGGCAAAAATTTCTGGCACCGAATAGTTTATCCATAGAGTCTTTGTATAAGTTACATGTATTAAATGACCACTTGTGTAATGCGACCACGGGCATTGATTTTTGGTCTGAAACAAGATACAACACCTGTAATAAGCAACCACTTCCGCGAATGTATCTGGTCTAAACTATTGTTCAACAATGTTTCCCCCTCCTAATATAATGAATTAGTGTAAACTCTCATTCGAACCCATCTCAGGCACTTCTCCCACCCTCGAAATTAGGTGCAGGTGTTAACGAATTAGCCTAGCAACAAAGGAAATTCGTTTCAGTTTGAAATTGCCCAAAAAACGAAAGAAATGCAAAGCGCTGTCATTAGAAGATTGTGTTAAAGTAACATCAACATAAAGCCCGATTGGTATACATATAAAACTTCCAAACGATCGCCTGAATAACGGGCTATAATATGGCTACTTAAAATGATTAGAACCAAAGCAATTTGTCTTAAGAGGTAAGCGTTAGGCGCCATCTCGTAACTAAATTAATAATTAAATNTAGTTTATCCATAGAGTCTTCGTATAAGTTACCTGTATTAAATGACCACCTGTGTAACATGACCATGGGCATCGATTTTTGGTCTGAAACAAGATACACCACCTGTAATAAGCAACCACTTCTGCGAATGTATCTGGTCAAAACTATTGTTCAACAACGTTTCCCCCTCCTAATATAATGAATTAGTGTAAACTCTCATTCGAACCCATCTCGGGCACTTCTCCCACCCTCGAAATTAGGTCCAGGTGTTAACGAATTAGTCTAGCAACAAAGGAAATTCGTTTCAGTTTGAAATTGCCCAAAAAACGAAAAAATGCAAAGCGCTGTCGTTAGAAGATCGTGTTAAAGTTATCACAACAGCAATTAGCGGTGAAGTTTAACTGTGGGAAAGCGAAATCGATTTTACCCTAGACCTATAGTATTTTCCTTGGGATATAAAATATTGTACACGATGCAATTAATCAGCTGATCTCATCATTTGATCAAATTAATTTTTATTTATTTATTTATTTTGAAGCTCTATATACAGTAAATGTGCGATATATTATGTAATCCCTGTATGTTCTTTAAGGAATGATTCCTTACTATAATAATAAGTATATTGAGTAATTATTTTGAAAAATAATTAAAAAAAGAGTAGGAATGACACTTCAGTTTTTAGATTGTTAGTGATCAGTCAGAAATGGAGATGATTAGGCATTCTGTGTGGCCTAGCATGTGAAGTTTGATCATTGCAGAGAAGCCTCACACAGTTTCCATTTTATCTATTTTTTTATGGTCTCCAGCTGCTTTTATAACTAAACAAAAATGTTTTGTGTTAATTTTGAGGTGCTGTAAGACATTTTTATTTCAAATATAAACATCCATTAATCCAATTTTTGATTAAAGTCAAATGAGCTGCTGGATTATATTGGATTATACAGGTAATACTACTACTATTTAATAATTAAATATTAAGTAATTTTGCCTAGAGTTTGCATTAGGCACTATCTCTTGATAAATTTAATAATTATAAATAAATTTGTTTAATTTATTTATACATTGGTGCTGTAAATAACTAGTATGGTTATATCTAAATTATGAACAATTCTGGAGGCAAAGATCAGTCTGAGTAGCGTAACTGGTGATGCATCCTCAAGTTGAGCAGGAGTTGAAGGTTCGAGTCTCTCTCCGGGCCAATTCTTTTCTTGCAGAACTTCTAAAATTAAAAGTTAAATATTAATTTATTAGGCTGCAATTTGAAAAAATTGTGTATATATAAATTCCAGGGCTGTGGAATCGGAGTCGTGGAGTTTTGATGTTTTAGTCGGAGTCGGATGGTAAGGAAGAGTCGGAGTTGGAGTTGGTAGATTTTTACACGACTCTACAGTTCTGGCAGGGCTGTGGAGTCTGAGTCAGATTGTTAAGGAACAGTTGGAGTTGGAGTCGGTAGATTTTTACGCGACTCCACAGCCCTGATAAATTCCCACTGTTGTCCATCTATTGTCTGTCTGTAGTTCCTTAATCTTGAATGGAGTGATAGATGAAAGCCAAGAACAAGTATGGATAGCTTAGGGGCAGAGACCCTGATTAACTATATATGAACTTTTGATGCATACTGAAAGTCCGTTATTTCAATTAAAAAATTCCCCTTGAAAGGAGTTAGATACATGACTGGCATGATTCTATTGTTAACAGGAAATGTATTGTGTACAGGGGCAAGACACTACTAATATGAGATGGAGAGCATATAATTTAAATTAAATAAATTAAAAATTGTAGCCCATTGTTGTGGCAGTGTCATAATAAATAATTGCTTGTTTATAATTATTAAATTTATTAAGAGATGGTGCGTAATGCCTACATCTAGGCAAAATTACTTAATATTTAATTATTAAATAATAGCCATATTATAGCCCAATATAATCTGGAAAAATCTTTTGACTTTTTAATTTAAATTAAGCTACAGTCTTTTTTATAGGAGCCGAGATAGGATAGTCATGCACCCTACCCTCCATGAGAAGAAAGGTTTGTGCATGGCAATGCCATTGAAAAGCTTGCTATCAATTTCCTACACTTTTCATGCACTTGTATTTAGTTAATACATAGCCAAGGGAAGATATAGCCTGGTGCCAAACTTATACAGAGGACAGTCAAATCTGACTGCATTTTATAACTGGATCTTTTATATTAATATCTCTCTCTTTATGTTGGCTCTAGACCAGGGTTTCTCAACNTAAAATTTATTTTTATTTATTTATTTTGAAGCTCTATATACAGTACATGTGCGATAAATAGTTTCTGTATCAACCTACCTTATTTCCATGATATTTTTAGGAAAATAACATTCAAGTAATTTTCGCAGGCAAAATATTCAAAAAACAATAGATGCATTAATGCAAAAATCAGTTTTACAGGCAACCTTCCTTTTTCGATTCCGCAATGACAATCGCGGAATGTAATGAAATCGTATAATGAGAAAAAATAATAAAATCGTTTCATTATTAATTAATAATTTTTCTTATTGTACTTAACAAAATATTAAATATTAAAAAATACAGTATTTTTAAAATTAAAATAAGATTAAATTAACGAATATTAAACAAAAGTGATGTAGAGATACCATGCACTTGTATATCAATGACGTAATACACGTAACTGAGGAGCGAATGAAAAGAACCGAGTGAAGTTAATTAAGTCGGAAGAAAGAAAGTGTGCGTTATAATCGAGAAAATGCGATTGTTGTATTAATCTTTAAAATATTAATATTAAATCCATCGACTCCTGTAAATTGGGTTATCCAATAAGAATAAAATACAATACAGTACCAATATAACCCCATTGTTGAAAAAATTTGCTTATTTTTGCTCACCTCGAGTTTTGCTTAGTAGAAATGGCTAAAAAGTGCGCAAAATACGTACGGAAATACAGTATTACAGAACCACCTGTATTGGATGACCACCTGTCTAAAAGACCACTTTTTGAAGGAACCGTGGGTGGTCGCCATAGACAGGTTTTGCTGTATTTATATATAATAATGAAGGGGATCAAAGGAGAAAACGTTCCTTAAATGGGTTTTTTAAAATCCCTTTCAAGAAATCCCTTGGGAACTCCTGCTCTAGACCAAGACTACTAAACTGTGTAGGCACACTGTTCTGTTCCACCTTAAGTGGTGTAACATCCAAATTCGCACAAGTTAGCTGTAAAGGGAATTGGTGTGTTCAGAGGGCAAGTCATTAGTCACTTAGACTTTCTTTATGCTTTAAAGCTTAGAGAAAGTTTAGAGAGATAGAACTAATTGTGTCTGCTAAGTTCGAAGACCTTTCCTTGTGTTCTTTTTTAGTCTTCTCCCTCATACTTTATTTTCTATCCCATTCTTTTCCCATCTTACCAGGCTCCATATGGTATTGTCTTTCTTTTAATGTTTTCTAAGTTTACAAGGTCTGCTACAACCAAGCATATAAAACTTGGTTGTAGCAAACCCATAACCAACATTGGTAGTTGGTTATGGGTTGACCCCAAACAATGGGTCAGCCATGCAGTTTTTTCTGGATTTTCTTTGCGTGTCTGATATTCAAATACGGGCAAGTTTCCCATAGAATTTCCATCTGATTCCTAATACAGTTGTATACAATTATCAAATATATTACACACTTATTTTTATTAAAATTTTTAAATAATAAAAGGGAATAAATTTTTTTTTCTTTGCAGATAAATGTGTAACGTAATTTTTAATTCTGTTTGAGAGGAAAGATGAGGTAATATTTTCTGAATTCTTTTCATTCTAAATGTAAATTTTATCTTAATTATCCTCATTTCCTTAAAATAATTAACTTCTTTTGTCCTTAAAATCTAAAAACAAAACACACTTTTGCATCCTTCGGACACAGGAAAATGCCAAGGTTGTTTTGTTAAAATGACAAAGTACAGAATGTTCAAATTTCTGCTTGTCTGTTTAATTTAACAAAATGTATTAGAACCAACTAAACTTATAAGTCCCAAAATGTTTTGTTTGTCACTTAAAAATGAATGGATTAAGAATAATTTGATGTTCCATTCATTGGGAACAAACAAATGAAAAACAAAACATTACAACTCATCTGCTTTGCATTAGTCTGACAAAGGAGGAGGAGCACAATACACACTATTTATTATGAGTAAATGTATAAAGTAGCATGTGTTGTTCTCTTTGTGTTTCTTTAAAAACTTACATGTTTACTCAATCCAATTAATCCTGTTTTTTGTATACAGGATTAGTCAGTTGACGTTTTTCCATTCATCTTTGATAACTGAGCATTTGCTTCAGTGCTTGAGCCAGAGGATGACTGAAATTAAGTTACTGGATAGATAGTACCCAAGCTTAAGGTTGTCATTAATTAATATATAAACAAGTGTTTTGCTTGCAAGTTGAATTATAGGTTGCTATTTGCCATTTAAGGCAGTGTTTTTCAACTTACCTGTTTACTCAATCCACCTGTGGACTGGCAAAATAGGAATAATATTTTGCCGACCAGCATAAGACTAAAGATAAATTTTCCTAAATTTAAACTTGGATGTGGATGATGCATGCAACTGCCATAACTGGCCATAATAAGACACTAGTTTCTATGTATTGCAATGGTGTTGCTTTCCCTCCCACATGATCAATCACTCAAGTTGCATGCAGCCTCAATAAAATAAGAATGTCACCAATAAGTGAGCTGACACAATACTGCAACACCTCCTAAGTATAACAGTAAGGGGTGTACAAAATTTTTCGTGGACTCAAGGTTGAAGAACAGTGATTTCAGACATATGACTAGTCCTTATGCCATCTCTGTTTGGCATACTCTTTATGATTACATACTAATTTTAAATTTAAATTTCCATATAGTAATAAGGCCTTTGAAATTGGAGGATGTAATCAATTATGTGCTCAGTATGTACAACTTTAATTGAATATACTGTCTAGCTGTAGCTGACAGACCTTTCGTCAGCTACTGCTGCAGCAACACTGCATTGTATGGCACTTTTTTATTAATAGTGTATGAGTAATTACTTCTCTGATTATTTTAAAAAGATTAATGAATAGAAATACTGAAGGACAAAAGAAATATTTATATTTCTGTAGTTTTTGTAGTAGGAGTTACAGTTCTGTACTCCTTCTTTTCTGAAGGAGTATAGAACTGTAACTCCTACTTAATCTTAAAAGTTTGAACAATGAACTAACAAGCAGACAACTTCAGTGACACTATATAATACTCTGAAACCTAGAAAATGTCAAATGCCCTTTGCTATAGGTACTTCAATCACACTTTCTCTTCTTTTATAACACTTCCTTGTCATTGATATTAAGTACATCAATGGATTTGGAATTTAAAGAACTAAACAACATAAAAATATAGACTTTTTAACACATTTGTATGCCCAAGTTTATTCATGTAACATAATATTTTTTCATAATTAAGATAGCTGAAAAATACTCATTTATTTTAATCCAGGGTGCTATTTGTGTACATATGTATAGTTCATTTTGTTTTTGTCTGTGGACACCCACTTGGCAACATCTCCACCACATTTGTGGACAACTGGTCTAGCTACTGGTTCTTAAGACTGATGGTTAATATTTTAGGATATGCGACCGTGCTAGTTCCTGGAGCTATTATTATTTTTATGATTAAAAGATCAAATTATCTGGATAGAAAAGGTTAGTTCATGTTTGATTTTTAAATTTATTTTTTAAATATTATTATTTTTCTTGTACTAATCAAATTTTATATTATATATCTATATGAAAAGTTTCCTAGCTGATATAGTCTCTATTTTAAGATGATAAAATTCCTGAAATTACACTCATTATATGAGAAATGCAACTGTACAAAACACAAATTTTAGGAGTTAAGAATATTTTGTAATTTTTGTAGAACTTGTAAAATTCATACCCATGAAGATAACTGAAAAACAGAGATAGCTACAGTTACAAAAGCGATATATAGTTATAGTAAAATAGCACTACTAAGTGAGACCACTTGCAGTGCCTGCGGTAAAATTTGGAAGTTAGTGTTCCCATCTCAAAAATGATGTGCAATATGGAGAAAAGTTGACTACTGAGTTGTAGAATATGACTGATTTAGTATGAAAGAGTGTCGTATATGAATATCATGACTATAAAGCAAGAAATGCTAATTTGTTGGTATTTGATTCTGTCAATACTACATCACTAATTACATTGGAAAGAATGGGAAGTGAAACCATGTGTGAGATGTAGTGAACTATTCCAATGAGTAACAAGAAGCTCTGTCCTGGATAAAAATATGCATTTCCTATTCTGTTCCTATTTCTCATAATTGTTGCTCTTTGAGGCATTTAGTGATGTAGCATCAATAGGAATTGAATAGAAGCAAATTAGCATTTCATGCTTTCTATTCTGCTATTCATGTATACTGGGTATCCTTTTGTACTAAATTGGTCATATTCTATAGTTTTATAACTGATCTTTTCTTGTGTTGCACATTGTTTTTGTGACAGGAAGTTCTGAGCTTTACCATTAGGGATGCCACAAGAAGTCTCGACTTGTACTGGTAATATATGCCATATTTTCGGGACTGTATACCATAATGTTAAAAAACAAAATATTTATAAAATGTTTAGTTTGATGGATGTTAGGCTGCAGTGAAAACGTTTAAAATAATCTTAAACTTTCAAAAAATGAATAATAATAGTGAGCATTGAACCATTAAATAAAGTTTTATGGTTAGTCCTTTGCTGTGTATGATTACCATATGTATACACAGCAAAAGACTAACCTTTCTTCCTCATTCAAAATCTTCTGAATCACTGGCTTAACTATTGGAGACAAACAGTTGTCATTTTTGCCTCTAACAATTTGTTATTTACACCTACTTCTTCCAATTCTTCTTCTCCTGAAAAATTACAGGTCAAATAGGGCCTTAGCTCACCTGACCTCTCCTGAAATCTTAGTGTACAAAATTTATGATCTGAGAACTGAAAGAACATTGGAAAACTCTAGAATGGATGCTAATTAAATTAATTATGTCCTGATGTACAGAAATATGATGTCTTTCTCTCCCCTTCCTTTACAACCAGTAGCCATGGGAGAGTAATTTACATGATTGTCTTAAAAAGTAACAACTGTATTTATTACATATGGACTGCACTTTTACAATGGGGTTTGCAGACCAATACATGGAATTGAATCCAAACTCAAACACAGCCAAGTGGCATGATTGACTTTAAGGTGGTCGAAAGCACTTAAATGTTTTATTGTTTGATAGCCACATTTATGTTATAATCATTAGTTTTTCTTTGATAAGCTGCAGCTTAACATCCTGAAAATACTCAGTAAACAATACTAGTATCAGATGTTTGAATGAAGAGTTTAATGTGTGTAGCAGATTTGGTGATTTCACAAACCAGCTGTTTTTGTTGTTCTATGTCTGAGAAACACTTAAAGCTTGATGTTTATTTACTACAGACTCAAGAGAGAACATTTGAAACTCTTTGCTAGTATCTCTGAGCCTATTTCTTAAATAAACTTTTCATTTGATCATCGGTGAGTGTGTATAAATAATTTCAGTATCTCAGCCTGGAAACTTTTCCAATGTAAGTTTGAATTCTTCAACAAAATCATATTTATTTCCAATATTTTTACAGATAAATCCTGCATTCAAAAATGCCTACAACTGTGTATTTATGGAACTCCAGAAGACAGGTCCAGCACCGAAAATGTGCAGACTAAACTTACCTTTTCAAATGGTGAGAAAAGCACATATCAAGAAGCCTTCCAGTTACTTTTTTGTTTCTTTGGACTTCAGATATCGTATTTGACATGGGGAGTTCTTCAAGAGAAGATCATGACTCAAAAATACAAAGATGTTTTGGGAGAAACTCAGATATTTACAGATTCTCAGTTTCTGGTTTTTGTCAATAGAGTTTTGGCATTTATTTTTTCTGGTGTGTATATATTAATTTCTAAGCAACCTCATCATGTTGCTCCTCTATACAAATATTCTTATTGCTCGTTTTCCAATATAATGAGTAGCTGGTGTCAATATGAAGCTCTGAAATTTGTTAGCTTTCCAATACAGATTCTGGCTAAGGCTTCAAAGATCATTCCTGTGATGCTGATGGGGAAGGTGGTGTCGAAGAAGACATATAGTTTGCATGAGTATGCCTCGGCAGTGATGATTTCAGTAGGAATGGTCCTCTTTCTACTCTCACAGGGAGAACAGCTTGACAGAGGCACGGTCACTTCCTTTTCCGGCTTTGTCATATTGGTAGGTTATATGTTGTTCGACAGCTTCACTTCCAACTGGCAGGGCAAGCTTTTTAATCAGTATCACATGTCTTCAGTTCAGATGATGTGTGGAGTCAATCTGTTTTCCTGCATCTTTACGTCCGTATCACTGTTGCAGCAAGGTGCATTTTACAGATCAGTCTCCTTTATGTTTCAGTTTTCTCAATTTTTTATGGACTGTGTGCTGTTGTCTATCTGTTCTGCCATGGGGCAACTGTTCATATTTTACACCATATCTCAGTTTGGACCAGTGGCATTTGTCATCATGATGACCGTAAGACAAGCCATTGCCATATTATTGTCTTGCCTGATCTACCAGCATCCCTTAAATATAGAGGGTGGAATTGGCATCACCATTGTTTTTTCAGCAACTTTTTTTAAAGTTTATTATAATCGTAAAATTAAGTTAGCCAAGCAGGCGCAGAAAATGAAGAAAGATCTGTTAAACGGACAAGCAGTTTAAATTGTTAAACAATGTAATTTTATATCAGGACGAGATTTTATGCTTTTATTTCACTGTTTGCAAAGAACAGTTAAGATTTTAATGTATAGAAATGAAAAGAGACTATTTCTGTGAGGATCCTCTTCCCGTTTTTTACCTAAAGTAAATTTTAGCTGCTGTTACAAATAGCAATACATTTAAACTGTTGTTTTATTTTTTATTTATTTGATATTTTCACCGAGTAGAATTTAGAACTTGGAGAACTCTGATTTGATAAAGTTTGGAGATAAACGTGATGCACAGAATTTGCCTATTAACTTATATGGTGCGCACATCTGTATATTTTAATTACTGAACTAGTCTGTCATGTTCGAAATTAGAAGTAAATTTCTGATTGTGTAAAAATTGTTTTGCGTTGCAGCTTAAAAACTTAAAGCAATATCTGAGTAATTGCATTGAAATGGCTTGTATTTCAGTTGAAATTTGACCATGCATTGATGGTCTTATATATTGCTTAGTCAAGAAATCTCAGCTTTGTTCTTTTATGTTTTGTACTGTTTTAAGGTTTGTGCAACTTAAAAAGTATAGGTAGCACAATAGTTGGTTAACCAGGATATAAGCACTAGGTTTTTTGTTAAATTGCTTTCAATGAAGCAATAATCACAAACCATTCTTAAACTATATCTTTGTTAATTGATTTTTGAGCCACCCTATGTATAACTGACAGTGTCTATTTATATTCGCGCACAAGATTTTGCAAATTGATAAAAAAAAAATTAATTTTAATAATCAAGTATAAATGCTGTTATATTAACCCAAATGTTGAAACTACTGTTTGATAAGTTTTATTCTTTTGCTGAATTTTTACTAGTGAACAAGTTTACATGATTTGCTTTACAAGAATCGTTGCAAAACTTGATTTACCATAATGTGTAAATATATTTTCTGTGCCATGTGAAATCAAAATAATGTCATATTTGCAGGATGGAATGCATTCAGAATAATCTGGAGTCCGTTTTGAACATTCAGATTGCATTTAGCAAATCTTCGGAGTTGGCCCATCCTCCGACAACTCGAAAAGACTAGGCGGAACCAAGTTTAAATTGTTATGCATTGACATAACCTTTGTTTGAATCTATGTATCAGTCATCGCAAGATGATCTTGAATTTATTTCTTCCCGTTAAAATAAGTGGGCATTGAAAATTCTACTGTTACAAGATCTGTAAACTGTGATATTAACTTTTTTTGTGAGAAAAACTTTGTTCCTTTTGTTTTTTGTATTAAAAATGCAATGCAAGATATATTGTAATATTTTTGAAATGCAATTATTCCTCATTAAAATGTGTTTGCAATATTTTTGATACTTTATTAAAAGTGTTAGGAAATTGGAAACAGCTTTGTTGTAAGAGCTTGATAAATTTGGATTTGTAAAGAAAACATTTGATGTTTTAAGTAGAAAACATTTGTTTTATAATGATGGATTGAATTTTCATTAGTGCTACTATATGGGCAGTCAAAAAGTTCCTGGAAATTGGAATAGCACCGTAATAGTGGAAATTCGTACTTAATCATCGTCAAAGTAGTATCCTTCAGCACACCCACACTTGCTCCATTGATCCTGTTGTTGTTGGAAGGCTTGTTTTGGAATATTTGGGAGTTTGACCATCATATTTAATTTGATGTCTTCCATGGTTGAGAAATGCCCATTCATGGTTTCCTCGAGACTCGTGTTCAGCTTAGGGACAGCAAAAAATACCTTCAAGCAAGATCTGGTGGTTGGGCTTTTGTTGACAAGGAATTGCATTATAAGTGATGAGTGACTCAGTGCATTATTGTGATGCAGAAATCACTCTCCCCCACTTCTTGCGCCATTCTGAATCGCATCTAAAAACCTATGAAAAACTTTCACATAGAAATGACCAGTAATACTCACTGGCTCTCACTATAAATGACTTTTGCTGTTCTGATGCTGAAAATGAGTCTCAAGACATTTTGCATCTTTGAGGACATGAGATCCAATGCAACAGCTGAACTCCTGAATATTCTAAAAGAAGCCATTCAATAATGGCAGGGTCAATGAGGCACGTTTGGATAGAATTTAACATATTCTTAGACTAAGTTTAACTCTAATCATATGTATACAAATGTGAACTCATATCCTGCAGACCTAACTTAGCCTACCCTTCATATCTAGAAACATTTTGCAGTGGTTTATCCCAATGTGTCGGCATCATTCCTTGTCATTCCGCTACACCATTGTGGATCTGGCTGAATCCACAATGAGTATGGATAAAAGGTCATCTTACTGCCCACAGGGTAAAGTTTAAAAATAATAGATACTTTGTAATAGTAGTTACTCAAGTCTCACTTGTCCTGATCCACAATTGACCTTGATTCAATTACAGATCAGATATATTTGTAATAGATAAAGCTCACCAGTAGTCGAGGGGATAAAGCCACAATACTAGTGGTTGCAGGTTTGTAAAAAAAATTACCAATGGGTGAGCTGTGGAATTTTCTGCGTCTAGGTATTTGTGTTAGTCACATCGAAATAGAGGCCAGTTTCCCCATAGAAAGTGTTCTCCGGAAGCACTACATTGACAAATTGCCCAAGTGTTGCATTTCTATATATCAACAAATCAAAATAATAGGTAAAATCTGCAATTCACGTAGACTGGTGTCTGTAATACAGAATCCAATACAACTTTTCCATTAAACGAGGGTTTAATTTTAATAAAGGTTGCTGGAATTGGTAAGGATGGAAACAAAAATCCTCAACAATATTGTCCGCAATAATTATTGTATATACGCGTCCAAAAGTTAAGAACTGACGACGTTTGTACATGAATACTTCTTTAGACGAAGGCAGACAAATAAGGCAAGAGTTATATTACTCGATAATGCATGTACAAATAAAAGTAAGTCTAGTGAAAAGGATATAGCAGTTGGACGTAGGTGAAGAATGGATGGAAAGTGCTTACTAATATACAGGTAGAGAACGTCTGTATGGAATATATCCATTCCAACTGCGATGCAGAACTCACGACGTCATGCAAACTCGTCAAGTGACTTTTTCTGGTTATCACCGCTAGCGACCTTTAAGGTGGCAGTTTACCTTTCTGGTAACCCGGGATCGAATCTGGATAGGTCGAAAACATCCACGGAGATTTCTCTGCATGGAATTTCCATCCGTATATACTCAATTTTCCAGAAAATCCTGTCGGAAGTCACTCGCCTTGGCCCATGTGTTGCGTTGCCTTAAAAGATCAATCCAATTCAATTATCCAGTCCATCCATTAGTGGCCGAGTGGATAAAACCACCGAACATTCGTAGTTAGTCGTGGATTCGCGCCTTGCCAACTGACTCGCCTCGAGTTCTTCACGTTTGTACCTAAGTAGTACCACTTTCCCATAGAAAGACACTTCAGGATGCAAATACAAGTAATCAAATTCAATTATCCTCCTCATCTTTCGCGTGCATGTATATAATCACTATAGAGAGCATTCGAATAAAATATTTATAATTAATTGTAAAATATACACACAGGCATTATTGAATTTCAACTCTAATACAATAACGTTATTTCGAAAAACAGAATCAATGCAAATTAATATTTAATTTGATTCGCTTCATGCATTTGTTACTTTCTCTGTTTTTGAATGAATTAATTTAAAATTATCTTAATTATAAGTTAGTAAAGTAAATTATATGAGGGTTTGTTCAAGGAAAAACGATAAATTTAGATAATTATTTTTAATATTGTCACGTGTGTGTATGGTTAGCCACGCTAATAAGTTTATATAATCATTCATATAATATAATAATGAATCAATAGAGATTCATACGCAGTAGCCTTATATACTGTATAAAGCTGGTTCATAAATTATATATTAAATCATAAATTACACAGTTACTTTATATTATAAATAGGTTTATACAAGTTTAATGATCCTCTGTGATTAATTTAAAATATTGCTATTGATTTCTGACTGCCCCTACGTGGCCGAGTGAATACTAGTATATAGTCACGAGTCATGGGTTTGCGCTTCATCAATGTGGGATTTTCCAGGTTTTTAAATGTCTTACGGCTAAATAGGAATCAGTTTCCCATAGAAATTCTTCCCGAGAGGCACCCCTCATTTGCAGATCGCCATATTTCATCCAATCCATTCTTGACGTGTACCCAGTTGAAGATCGGACCTCATGCAATAGAGCAAGTTGACGTTTCTATCGATTTCCAAGCTCAAAACTCACATTGTGAAGATGCCTAAACTCATTGACATCATTGTAATGATGTCGAGACCCTTATAGTCAATTGCATTAGTTTCTAAATATAAATATAGTTCATTATAAACAGTATTTAGCTTAGAAAATTTAAAGCAGTACTAAATACATTCTGTAGAACAATTTATTGTTATATCTATTTAACGAATAACTTTTTCGCATAATGTTAAGGTTTAAGGATACAGAAATAAGGAAATGTTTCAGAATTTCCTGCTCATACCTCGTGGCTATCTGTTATCGAAAGACTTCAACAAAGAAAGTTAAGTAGGGCTGTCTTATTTAGCAGAAGACTTAGCCCTNCCCCCCTATCTCAATTTCCCCTCTCGCTAGAGCCCTCACAAATACTGAAAACTAAAAACCCCCTAACTTCTCCCCTAATTGGCCCACCCAAAAAATGATGGTACCATACGAACCCACTCGAAGAGATCTATCCAGCTATGTATAAAGCTGCAGTGCGTGACGAATTTTAACTTAAATATCACAGTTTAAAATCAGAGCCCAAATGACAGCAGCCTCTCTATCAGATCACCTCTCCACTGACTTTTTGTTATCGAAAGACTGCTACCGATAAATTATGGTCTTTCAATGATCCCATTCAGATTCAATCTATGCAGCTCATGATGTTTCCTGCCCGGTATATTTGGGGTCCACTTCTTTCTTAAACTTTTTATAAATTATTAAATTACATTACATGGACTTTTTGGATTTTTCCCAAAGACGACCCAGAATTACGCAATTTTTCTTCTCATGTTCTTCATTCGTGATGTCTAAATAATTACATTTTTTTAGAGTTTTAGAACCGTAAAATAAGCAAAATTTGGGTCTAAATAGACCCGAATATTGAATGGTATGAAATGGGTTTTCATATGATCATTTCCAAAATTTCTATATTTTTAAATTTACATTTTATCATCAAAAGTAAGAATATTTAGTTGTGTTTGATAGAATGTTTGTTAGTATTATGAAATGCAGGGTGCAATATTGATGAAATAAGTCAAAACAACACTTAGAAATGCGAAGCCACGATCAAATACCAGTGTTCACCAGTGGCCAAGTGTTATCCACTTGCCCATTGATTGTTACACTTATCAGATGAAAAATTACGAATGAAGAACAAGTTGTGTGTTTTAATAGACTTGAAGCGAAAATAATAATTTAAAACTTCTTTCTTCGGGAAAAGTAGTTAATTGTATTTTTCTTGAACTTTTAGTAAAATAGACAAAGATATGTCTTCCATTATTACAAGCTCCAAAAAGAGGACGTGTCATCCTCTTCAAGTTTATAACAATATAAAATTTAAAGCAAATTCTGATGGGTTTTTATTAAAAAATGAAGATTATCATGAGAAAATTTAATAAAAATGACACTTAAAATCGAACCAAAGAATAATAATTGCTTATGTTCGTGACATTATCTCACCACAAAATTATCCACATAATGAGAATTATTTGGATCACGCAAAGAAACCCATAAAAACTTAATAATAATTTTGCTATCCCGGTGACTACAAATATTTATTGTATACGAAGTAAGCACCAGGCAATAAACATGATCATTTTTGCCTCTTCATCTCGCATTGCACATTGAAGTTTGCAAATCATGCACTTCAGAATGGAAAGAAATAAGATCAACATCGCCTCAGAAAACATGTTATTCACCTCCACTTCTGTGAAGAAAGAACATTCGAACGTAAACAAGATGAAAACTAAGCTTTGGCCCCTTACAATCTTCCTAAAAGTGTATGGTATGAACATAGAACAGGATGGACTTTCATTATACAGTATAATTGTGACAATATTAGTGTTTGTTCGCACGCTAATGGAAGCAGCTAATGAAATTACGTATGCCATTAATCGTGGGAGCTTCATAGTAATTATAGAACACGCATGTGACTTGATCTCTGAAATCTGTCCTTTCGTTTCTATGATATACTTTCAATACATCAAAAAAGAATTAAAACACATACTTCAGGACGTATGTTCTCATGACAGTAACAAAGATCCGAACACGTGGGAAAATCAGACCAAATCTACTTTTTACGTACTATTTTACGGGATTTCTCTTTCCGCACTTAAAATGTGGATCGTCGTTCGATGCAATAGACAAGATTATTTTAACAGATATA